TGTGTGTGTGTGTGTGTGTGTGTGTGTGTGTGTGTGTGTGTGTGTGTGTGTGTGTGTGTGTGTGTGTGTGTGCGCTGGGATCTTACTGTTTGGTTAGAAAGCGAGTGAGAACCGTCGGTCTCCTCATAAAAAGAACCACCTGTCTGTTCAGGTAAACAAAGAACGCTCCCAAGAAGCCACATGAGATCCTAAAACAAGAATCAAACTGTTTATAAGAGTCTATGAAGAACAAATCCATCTTTTGTCTGCAGCTGAAAGCTGAATAAACATTTAATTTCATGTAACAAACATGAAATGAAGTAACAAAACAAGCCAAAAAAAATAACACATACAGAATGTTCAGGTACTCACAAATATCCTCACCCTATTATTGCAAACGCAGGGAGCTCCTGCAGGTCGAAGGGGAAATCCATCCGAAAGTTTGTTTTGAATAAAGCTGTGATTGTGACTGAAAGTGAGGAAATAAAAACATATAATGTGGCAAAACTGAGTCAAACGTTAAGCATAATATCTTGTTTTTTTATCATTACCTTCAGTTTAAGTAAAGAAGAACATGAGATAAAAAGGTCATTTTAYGACAAATATGAAGCATTGTTCAGTAGCATGTTTTGACATTATACCAGGTGAGTCAAAAGTCACAGGACACCCTTTTACTTCAGAGAGAAAAGATAAAATGACAGTTCTGAATACACCAGCAACTTATAGGTGAGGGGGCTTATTTCTGTGTCCAAATTCAGGGGCTGCATCCTTTGAAGGCCGATCACTTCACWGCGATGTGCCGAAGGTGGTCCAAATTCGAAAGCTCCTCCAATTGTGGTCCACAAATGTCTCCTCTTTTTTCCCCCGATTCAAGGGATGGATGTATCCAACTCAGCCCATCTTATTCCAAGAAGCATTTCGGGAGATTATTTTTTGCTTGTTATGTTGGAGGGAGCGAAAAACAGGAATACAGTTTTAAATAAAAATCTGGCGGTTGTGTTGTTAGGCGTGTTTTTAATATTACTCCAGTAAGAAATCATTGTAAACAAGCTTGTATTTTGGGTCCTTTAGACCTTCATTTATTGTCTCTAAACTAATTTTGTTAATTAATTAGTATTTTGCTCATTTTGATCTATTTTCAATCTTCATTGCTTCTGTTTAGCGTCGTCAGTTTTGCTAGGCACTCAGATTTGTCATTTCCATTTTGATTCTGAAAAAAAGGGCGTCCTGTGACTTTTGACACACACTGTAGCTTAGGAAAATACAGAAAGTGAAAATCTGTCTTCTCCAAAGTTACAGTCTGAATACTCAGTACTATGACACAAATGGAAGTTTACATTTTGTGTTATTTTTACTACTTCCTGAGCTCAGAACCAATCACCTCTCTGAGCTGCCTCAAGCCTTGACTTCACACATGCAAATCACTTTTGGCCATCTTCTCTTCAAGAAACTAACATTTGAAAATGTGCATTTAAAAACGCATCCAGTACTGTCAGAATATGAATATAAACTTATTATAGTCAGGATTTTACACAACAGCTTGCAGCTGCAGAAATGTTTTTATACTCGGAGTGATGTCTGTGAACATTTCTGGGTTATCTAAAGAAGCAAAAACTACTTAGCTGCCACGTTCAGTGACTCCTGAATAAAATGCAAGTTCAGCTGTCTTCTGCAGCTAGTGTGTGTGCGTGTGTGTGTGTGTTTCACACACAAGGTGCTGCWCACCAGCATCCTTGTTCCAAACAGAGAGCACCCTGAATATGAAGGCGCTGAATGTGGCAGCAAAGTATCCCCGCCAGTAATTCCTCACAGCAAAGTAGGTAGACGTGACCTCGATACTGAACAGCACTCCTGGTGATGGAGCGAGAGGAGACGGAGGGAGAGGAGGGATTGCAGAGAGGAAGGAAATGAGGATGGATGGAGAGAGAAATGAGGAAAGAGAGCAAAGACAGAGATTAGTTTAAAAAAAAGCAGAGTGAGTCTAAAACTAGGGTGTAATTATACTCAATGAGAAAACCACAGGGAGTTAAAACACACTCAAACATGGAGTAAATACACACTTTATTTCTATCTGTCTCTCACACACACATAAAGTACAATCAGAATGTGAAGCAATAAGATAAACAGAGGACTTATCAAGAAAAACTGTTTCAAAGTCAAACAAAACCAGTTGAACCAAGTTCAAAACACATTTAAAGACTGACGACATGTGAGCAGCTAAATCCAAATTATATGCCAGGTTTTAAATAATTTGTGACGAAGGGACAATCCAGACGTTTCATACATTTTAGATAAACAGATCTTATCCACCTTCCAGTAGCGAGGCACAAAATCAGACCTAAATTCACTTTGCAGCTTTCCAACGAGCTTAAATATGCAGCTGGAGTCACAAAGAATTGTTATCAAGACAGAGGAGGAAGAGGAGGAGCAGCGCTGCAGCAACCCTTTGTCTATTCTGCACAATAATTAACACTAAGAATGCCTGTTATTGATTTGGTCATAATCTTCCCTGATTATTTTGTAAAACTGAAAAAAAAAGTAATAATTGGGAAGTTCATGGACACTGACCTCTGCAAAGCTCATGCTGTCTCAGAAGTAATCCAAACAATTTCATTTATAAATTAGAAAAACACCAAATTATAGTGAATTATCAGGTTGAAGCAGTTGGAGGTGGGGGCACATTCAGCACATTTAATTATTAGAATGGCTGTCCTAAATGTTTAAACTTAATGACAGAGGAATATCTCTGAGTTTTGTTCACGAGTGAGAAGGATGGAGAATTGTGAACCAGTTTGTTGTGGTGAAGGAGGAGCTGAGCGGCAAGGCCACCCTCATCTACGGTCCTGAACTCTGGCTGGTGACTGAAAGAACGAGACGGTGAGTACAGGCTGTTCAAATGAGTTTTCTCTGCAGGGTAGCTGCTAAGCTCTGTTATGAGGGAGAGACTCAGAGTACACTGAAGGATATTTTGTGACAGATTAATAGAATTTTAGATGAACTTTCATATTTTAGACTTTGTGATTGATTGTAATCTTTTACTCTAAATGGAGAATCTACAAGTCTCTAAGAGGGTTTGAGTAACGGACCAGATCTGAGTTATGTGAGTTAACTTTGCATGTCTGTAAATAAATCTTCCTGTCTGACTGAATTGATCTCCTGCACATAATTTGATCTCTCTTTTGAACATGATCTGTCAAGAATCAGGCATCAGGTAAGGATTCCCTCTAGAAGCTTCCTTAGTGAAATGTTCAGGAGACACTGGGGAAGACCCAGGACATGCTGAACAGACTGAGTCTCTCAGCTGGCCTGGGAAAAGCTTGGAATCCTCCCAAAAGAGCTGGAGGTGCTGCCTGAGGAAAGAGATGTCTGAGCCTCCCTGCTCAAGCGGATGGATGGATGGATGGATGGATGGATGGATGGATGGATGGATGGATGGATGGATGGATGGTGCAACAAACTGAAAAGGTAATGCAGACTGGGATTACTTTAAGTTACTGCAGCTAACGGTAGCTCTGGCTATTGCAACTGGATTATGAAAATTTAGAGTTTGAATTTGCATTCACCTTATTTTTATAACCTCCTCAGGATTAGTTGATTTATTTATTTATTTTCAGATAGATGAAACCTTGAAGTTGGAACAAGGCTAATTAACTTCTTAACCAATACTTAATTTTGCTTACGAAGCTACTTAGTCTTGTTTAATCTCTCTTCTCTGATGATCAGTGTACGTCCCAATAATTTCTAAAACAAGAGTGACATTTTTCTCATTTTCACTTTTGATTTCATGATCACTCTGAGGTGTTGTGTAACCTACAGCAGCAGCTGTCAAATTACAGGAGGATGTGAGTGAGACTTTATAAAAGTGAGGCAGAGTGAAGGTTGTACAGTACCTCCTAGTGGAGTGCCGAAACAGCATCCCACCCCCACGGCACAGCCGACAGTCAGTATGTCTGTGTACCCATAAGGGTTCTACTGACACAGAAAACAGAGGGAGCAGAGGGAGAGGTAGGAGGTGAAGGGGTAAGGCAGGTGAGTGAGGGACGATGGAGAGAGGGGGGGGAATGAAGGTGCCAGTGAGGCAGGACAGGGAGGTGGAAACAGACGGTTGAGGAAACCACGAGGGGGAGAACAGTGACAGTGAGGGAACAGAATGGAACAAAGTGAATAAATAATACTCACCACAGTGGGATTTTCAAGTGTGACAAGGACAGGGGACGTGTTACTTCAAGAAGATATAAAAACAAAATAAATGCACATGCCCAAAAAAAGGAAGGATTATGCTCAAAACAAAACAAGTGGTCACTTTAATCTATAGATTTAGACCCCTGGTACTAAAACAGTGAGGAGTGAGTAGGGCGAGTGTGTAGCCACTGATTGGGAAAGCCTCTGTGATGCCTCACAATAATTCATTGTGTTTGCTTATAATTCATTGTGATTCTTTTTGCTCACTATGATTCCTTGTGCCTCTTTGTGATTTCTCATCTGTTGTGCCCTATCAAATTTTTTACTCAAGCCTCTTCATGTCAGACTGCATTTCTGGGTTCAAATCCTCCTCAGCTGTGACAGAGTGAAACTGATCTTTGAGATACGTTATCAGTAAGATCATAGTTTTAATTATTGCTTAAAAGGATACTACTAAAAAAAAACGAGAACATCTTTCTGCTCAGTCTCAGTTAAAAACTCTTGGGAACTCGCCACAGACTAATTTGTTGCTCTTTTGTGGAATATTTTCCTAATATGCTAACAGAATGTTTAATAAATATTAGCCTATAGCTAATACTGGGTGATTTCAAAGGAGAAGGGTTTATTTACTCTAAATTGGCCCACATAAAAAAAGCTGCAAGGCATGCAAATTAAGTGTGTGATTTGCTTTTTTAAAACTCTTTTGATAATTATCATTGACGCTAATAAATTAGTGAGAAGCATAGTCTCGCAGCTGATTAGTTTTTAGCACCACAGGGAAGGAGATATGATCCTGCTTGCATTTTATTAGACTGCCTATTATAGTCATTTAAGAAATGGCTACACTCCATCTCAGTTATAGTATTTGCCACAATTGTAGTCACCCAGCTCCTGTGTGGACCCCGTCATTCACTCTTCCAACAATATTTAAAACTAGACTCTTTTGTGCTTCATATTTATTTCATATGAAAAACATCATGTTTTCAGGGGTCACACTGTCCATTGTTAAGGTTTGTGGCTGTTTGCAGACATATTTGACATATTTGACAAATATTAGACATATTTGGTGCAACTTCTTTACAAATTAAAAAAATGATYTGCAGGTCAAAGGTCAGATCTCCAGGTTTGCATCACCGACTAAGAACTTTGCGTCCAAGCAGGTGGGACTTGCCTCCTATAGGGGCAGCAAAACAGGTGGCCACTCCCACGGCACACGCACACACCAACAGGTCCRTGTTATGGGAGTCATTCTGGGGTTAGAGGTAAAAGACAGCGGCACAGAGTAGCAGGGACGAGCGGGACAGCCGAGAGGGGTAGGGGGGAGTTGAAAGAAAAGGGGACAGTGACATGGGAGGTTACTGTTAATTCACATGCCAGACATAATGATCACACTATTTATACAATGAGACATAAACACAGACAAGGTCTAGGGGAGGTGACCATAACAAAGACACCGAGGGAACAGGCAGGAGAGGGAATGAGCTGAAAAAGACCGGCAGGAGGAAACAGTCACAGGGTTCCACTTTTCTATAACGTGTGTAATTTTCTTTAACACGATAATGTAAAAAAATCCCGTGGACTACTAAAACAGTTTTTATTGAAACTCAGAAAGCAATCATGGGATGAAAAACTAAAGTAACTTTTGGATTAAACCCAAATCAAAATGGCTGCCACAATTTAATCAGCCTTAGCTAACACAAAAATTACTATAACTTTTGCGTGGTAGTAGAAGAGTGTCATTGCTTTTACATATTTGCGGGCTAAGGAATCATGCAAAAACGGTTGGATCATAATTAAGATTTTAAGGGTGTTTGCTGATTTTAAGTGACATCTCACATAAACAGTGCTGGAGAAATTTCTATTGTAACTAAAATATATATATATTTTAATGGCGAGCAGTGGGAACACTGTGACTAGCAATAAAAACAACAACAAAGCATTCTGTTTGGCTCATTTACGTTGGCATTCGCCTGTTTTTGTTCGGGGCTTCGGCTTACCTCGTAGACTCCAGAGAAGATGGACATGAATCGACTCAGTACTGCAGCACATATACTGGCAATGTGGACAAATGGGCCCTGAAGGTGATGAGAGGATAGCACTGACACTGAAGAGCAGTAGACCGTTATCCACACAGGCTATTTTCTCTTGAAACAAAGAGTTTAAACTGGGACATGTATCAGAACAGATAAATCACAGAGTATTTGCTGGATGTGACAGCTGCCCCGCTAGTGTAATGAACAAAATGAATGCACTCCTTTTGTGGAGGAMTTAAATAATTTGCCTCAGTCCCATGAGATGACGGAGTGAGGGAAAAACATGACAGAAGCTGATTTATTACACACAGGCTTGAATTAAAGACCAGATATAGCAATAAAGAAAAACAAAAACAAAGGGATGGTGTTCATCCAGGATAAATGTAGGGTGATGAGACAATACAAAAAATAAGAGATAGAAGAAATGGGTCATTTAACCTCTTTGCCCACTGGCATCCCACTGCCAAGGGCAGCAGTCAGACCAATGACTTTAGCTACGAAAGCTTTGAGGGTCAAGTACTCCTTTAGGACTACGCCTCTCAGGATGGTTTTCAGCTCTGGAATACCAGAACCTGCCAACAAAAACAAAAGAAACTAAGTAGATGAGACAATTTAATAAAAAGGAAGGTAGTATCTATGAAAATGAAGCTGAAAGTGAGCTAAAAGGAGCAGAACACTTGCTTACGGCTAAAATGAGCAACAGCTAGCTAAAACCATTTGGTAGGAAAACATTAGCTAGAAGCTGAAATCAGCAAAACCACTATTAGTAGAACAACAGTAGCAAAACGATAGCTAAAATATAAAAGTAGCGTTAAAAAGGAAACCAAGAACTGAAGAATTAAAAAAACTGTTTCTGAATGGATTATAAAGATCTTAATGAATTTCTAAAGTTTTAATGATGACTCAGCATCCCTCACAAAACGTGATGGAGGACTAACCAATAGCTTGTGGAGAAACCAGGTGACAGAAGAGTGACGCGAAAACAACCAGGATTATGGGATATGTAACCCAGGCGAGGTATTGGAGGGGCACGTTGCCTCTAAGCTCTCCATGAATCCACTTGTAGGCTTAAATGCAGAAACAGAGAGGAAAGAGTCATTTTTAAACACACGGACGTAGAACCAGCAGCAAGGATCTCTGAGTTTGATCGTTGGAAACCTTGTAAACTCTTGGCACTGGCGTAGTCCATACTCCAGCTGACCAGAGCCATAGTCAGCCCCAGCAGAACCAGAAAAATCCAGTCCTCTCCCATCTTTGTCACGATGTAGCGCCTCACTCGAGCCAAACAATCTGAGACAGAGAAGCAAACAATAGCTATGTTTACATGTGCAAAATTCTTTGATCGGATTGAAATGTATTCTGACTGAATAATCTGAATGTATTGTTTACATGGGCACAATCCGATCAAGACAAGTGTTTACATGCACCAGGCTTTTATTCAGAATAGAAGCACTGACATGCGCAGTTGCTAACTTTCCCTAAAGAAAAAACACAGAAAAAAAGTTCCACTTTCGTCATGAACACAGACAAACAGCTTCTGAGCTCAGAATGAACCTGCGACAGGTTTTAAGGACGGTGGAGACGTTACTGCACTCTGGTTGAGCTGCAGGTGACGCGCAGATTATTATTATTATTATTTTTTTTTGCTAAGCGGCGCAGGCTGTGTGTCTTCCTTCTTTATAGAATGAGAAAACAGGAAGAAAAGTTCTGTCTGCTGGAAACTCCCTCCTCAAAAGTGCAGAAACCGATGGATGAAAGTCAGCAGACATGCACAGTCAGGTCAGTTTTCCACAATCAGAATAAGATGATCAGATTAAGTTTTTACATGCACGTCGTTCGGAATATCAATCGGCATAAACCACCTCTCTCATTCAGATTACAAATTCATTCGGACTGAGCTGAATCAGATCAGAATAATCCGAATGGGGTGTTTACACGACACATTTTTATTCCGAATGGCCGTTTGATCTGATTACTAATGTCCATGTAAACGTAGCTAATAATACACAAATTCAACAGATTTAGGTATAACTTCTTTGTGATGATGCTTCACACAAAAAGTAAGGAAATTTGTCCATCCATCCATTATCTGTACCCGTTTATTCCTTTTTCTAGGGTCACGTGGGTCACTGGTGCCCATATCCAGCAGTCACAGTGCGAGGGGTGAGGTACACCCTGGACAGGTCTCCAGTCCATCACAGGTCCACACATAGAGACAAACGAGGCATACAGGTCCTTCTCAAAAAATTAGCATATTGTGATAAAGTTCATTATTTTCTGTAATGTACAGATAAGCATTAAACTTTCATAGATTTTGATTCATTGCACACCAACTGAAGTAGTTCGAGCCTTGCATGAAGCATGAAGTGCTCCAAAATCTCCTGATAGCTGCATTGACCCTGGCCTTGATAAAACACAGTGACACCAACACCAGCAGCTGACATGGCACCCCAGACCATCACTGACTGTGGGTATTTGACACTGGACTTCAGGCATTTTAGCCTTTCCTTCTCCCCAGTCTTCCTCCAGACTCTGGATCCTTGATTTCTGAATGACATGCAAAATTTGCTTTCATCTCAAAAAAGTACTTTGGACCACTGAGCAACAGTCCAGTGCTGCTTCTCTGTAGCCCAGGTCAGGTGCTTCTGCCGCTGTTTCTGGTTCAAAAGTGGCTTGACCTGGGGAATGCTGCACCTGTAGCCCATTTCCTGCACACGCCTGTGCCCGGTGGCTCTGGAAGTTTGTACTCCAGACTCAGTCCACTGCTTCAGCAGGTCCCCCAACGTCTGGAATCGGCCCTTCTCCTCAATCTTCCTCAGGGTCCGGTCACCTCTTCTCGTTGTGCAGCGTTTTCTGCCACACTTTTTCCTTCCCACAGACTTCCCACTGAGGTGCCTTCATACAGCACTCTGGGAACAGCCTATTAGTTCAGAAATGTCTTTCTGTGTCTTACTCTCTTGCTTGAGGGTGTCAGTGATGGCCTTCTGGACAGCAGTCAGGTCAGCAGTCTGACCCATGATTGTGCTTTTGAGTAATGAACCAGGCTGGGAGTTTTTAAAAGCCTCAGGAATCTTTTGCAGGTGTTTAGAGTTAATTTGTTGATTCAGATGATTAGGTTAATAAGTCATTTAGAGAACCTTTTCATGATATGCTCATTTTTTGAGATAGGGATTTTTGGTTTTTCTTTACTTTTTTGCCAAAATCATCAATTTTAAAACCATAAAAGGCTTGAACTACTTCAGTTGGTGTGCAATGAATCTAAAATATATGAAAGTTTGTTTATCAGTACATTACAGAAAATAATGAACTTTATCACAATATGCTAATTTTTTGAGAAGGACCTGAACAACCATTCAGTCTCTCACTCACACCTAGGGACAATTTAGAGTTATCAATTAACCTAACAGTCATGTTTTTGGTCTGTGGGAGGAAGCCGGAGTACCCGGAGAGAACCCACGTATGCACAGAGAGAACATGCAAACTCCACCCAGAAAGGTCCCCGGGCTGGGACTTGATCCAGCGACCTTCTTGCTGAGAGGCATCAGCTCTACCAACTGAGCCACAAGAAAATTTGTGTTTGATAGATTGTTTTTTCTTTTTTTGTAACAATGCTTCCTGGCAATAAATCGTTTACCGTTGGAAAAGTATGTTATAAACAGTGCCACATTTGTAAGGAACATGCATTTGTGGGATAAGTAGTAGACCTGAGTATGTGGGTTGTGCACACGAAAATGGCCAAATCTCTGCTAAACAGCATATTCTGCTGTTGGTATTAACACTTGAGTTGAGCTTCTGGTACCTCCAGGTGCTGCCAATCAGGTGCCAAGAAGCACTGTTACAACAAAGAAATAATCTACTAAACACACATTTCCTTATTTTTGTGCTAAGTATAGTTATAGGGGCAAATGGGTTCGTAAACAGAAGCAATTGGGCCAACAATCAATAACGTGTGCGACACTCTAAAATGACGAATTGACCTTTATTCATGCCTTCAAAYAGTAAATATAATTCATAGGTAGTGTGAATAAACGTCTGACAGAATAAATAAATGTATCTGTTGCTTGATAGTTTGTTTTTCTCAGCGCATCAGCACATTCAGGAGGTCTTCATCGCTGTGTGCTTAAAATTTCTACCTTAAGTCCTGGTGGCATTAAAGCTCTGTATCGTGTTTTATGAGCACATCAAGTGGYGTGTAAAACTATAAAGTGCAAAGTGTCCAGAAACTGAAGCTGTCAGGTACAGGTTCTGTAGAGAGTTGTGCAACATTGTAAAAACTGTGCAAGACTGAATATTTGTGACGTTCCATGATGGTGCTCACCTTGACATTTGGAGTAAGGACGGGGCTTGTTGGTGGAGGAGCTTGACTCCAGGACCGCAGRGTTCTGATGGTGATGATGGTGATGATGATGTCGCCGGCCGAGGCCTCTGCGGCCTCCGGTGTTCTCCTCTGCTTGTCGTCTCCATTGTCTCTCTGTCAGCAAACGGGCGGCCTCCCGGCGGGCAAAGTTCCCCAGCTGCTCCCTGTACTCGCCGTACAGCTGCAACACAGGAACAGCACTGACGATCTCCAAGAAACAAACACAAATAAGTCAAGAAACCGTGCACTTCGTGGGTCCGAGATGGACAGATGAGAATGGAGGACACAGACAGCTGAGATTTCGGAGAACTAAATCCATGCGGGAGTCTTGAGATAACAATGTGTGTAAGGGATACACACCAACCTGAATACCTTGACAGACAGAAACAGACAAAATGGGCAGAGGGAATGGAAAAAACCCCTCCCTGAGCAGTGGAAGAGGCTGGAGAACAGCCAGAGGAGGAGGTCTACCACATCTTCCCCTTCCAGCTTTACAACCACAGAAACCTGCACACACACACACACACACACACACACACACACACACACAC